CTCTGTTTTCTCCTCCACAGATGCTGCCAGACTTGCTGAGCTTTTCCAGCAACTTTGTTTTTGTTCCTGATTTACAGCATCCGCAGTTCTTTTGGTTTTTATTGAGTCATGTTGTAATTCTTTTTATTTGTCTTCTGATCATTTACTCATAATGTCAACCTTTTTTGTATTTCACTAGCTGTGGAAGAGGCTGGAGGGGACTCTTACAAGTACAGTTTAAGGGTAAGTTGGACTGATTATGAATTACACTTGTTGAGAGCAATTTATTTATCAAGGAAAATGTATTATTCACTACAATTAATCATCTGATAGTCAGTGTAGCTGCATTGGGAGGAATCTTGAAAGAATCCTTAGATTCCGGAAGAGTCTCAGGTTTAGAAAACTACCAGATTAGATGTGTTGCAACTTTGTCACTTGTGATTTTAATGAGTACACTTGTGGCTAAAATGTTATGTAATTGGCCAATCAGCACAGACCTTAAAATTTACATCCCTGCCCTGACTGATGACCCACAGATTCCTTTCCCCTTGTCCAATCCGAATGTAAAATTTTACTGTTTCAGTCATCTTCACTAATTTTAGGCAAATGAATGTCTTATTTAGTCAGCTAAATACTGATTGACAAGTTGTGGAAAATTCTTGTGTGTTTAGTACAGAGAGATTTATGCAACTTAATGAGGCCTTTTAAATGAAAATCATGCTTTCCTTTACGGACTCAGCTCTGAAAGTGAAATTCCCATTGCAAATCATTCTTCTTGGTTGGCAACAAAACTGGATAATTAAACCTGAGGGAGGAAAACAAAAACCCATCTTCACATTGAGTGTGGCTGCCCTTGTCATTAAACCCGTATTTGACTGCGTATGGGTTCAGGAGCCCGAGCAAAACTGGAGTTGGTAGGAATCGGGAAATCTCTCCACTGACTAGAATCATATTTAGCACAAAGGAAGACTAATGATTGCATAGTGTTCAGCACTATACATGACTTCTCGTAATGAAGCAGTTCATGTCCAAGTGTCTGGAGAGTATCCAGGTTTGGCCTAATAAGTGACAAATAACATTTATGGTGCACAAGTGCCAGGCATTGATCGTATCCAACAAGAGAGAATCTAACCATCATCCTTTTGGATTACCATTGACGAGAAACTGAATTGTACTAGTCATAAATACTCTAAATACAAGAGCAAGTCTTGAAGTCCTCCAGCGACTTACTCACCTCTTGACTCCCCATCTATACAGCACAAGTCAAAAGTATGATGAAATACCCGTTGGTTGCCTGGATGAGTGAAACTCCAACAGATTTTAGAAGCTTGACACTATCCAGGACAAAGCTACCTGTTGCACTGACACCTTATCCGCGAACACTCATTCCTACTCTGGTCAGTAGCAGCAGTATGTACCATCTACAAGATGCACTATAGAGTTTCATCAAGGCTCTTTAGACAGCACCTTTCAAAACCACAGCAACTATTTAGAAGGGAAAAGGCATTGGATTTTGTGTACTACCTGCAAGATGGTTTTCAGCTACTCAACAGGGCTCTCTGACTGCACCTTACAAACCAATGAACTCTTTGATCCAGAAGGAAAGGGCAGCTAATGTGTGAGAACACCAAAACCTACAAGATCCCCTCCAAGCTATTCAACTTCCTCACTTTGAAATATATTGGCATTCCTTTGCTGTTGCTGTGTCAAATTAATGGAACACCCTCCCTAACGGCATTGTGAGTCTACCTGCATGAAAGGACTGCAGTGGTTGAAGAAGGCAGCTGACTACTGCCTTTTCAAGGGCAACTACGCATGGGCAACAAATGTTGGCCCAGCCAGTAGCACCCACATTTTCCTGAATGAATGAGAAAAAACTGTCCCAACAACTGATGGTTGATAACCAGAGGATACACCATTAATGAATGGGCAAAATAAAACGAAAGTGATGTAAATAACTTTTTTTTATATAGCAACTGGTTAGGATGAGAATGCATTGCACAATTAGGTGGTGGGTAGCAATTCAGTAGTTGCCTGCAGAATGGAGTTGGATTATTACTTGATGGAGAATTGCTACCTGAATGAGTGGAAAGAGTAGGGACATGGGACTTACTGGATTGTTTTTGAAAGAACTCCACAGACTTTCTGGGACAAATTCTCACCTTGTAGATTATGCCATGATGTTCAAAGAGAAAAATCTGAAAGTTTCCAACGGGTAAATTTGCAAATATAAATAATACACTCAGTTCCTCCAGTTCCCAAACTCTTACAATAGAAATTAGTTTTCAGTTTAAATTTGGAATAAAACTCTGCATTTTCTCATTATTTTATCATTCTTTTGGTCTTTTAGCCATGTACGGAAGTCCTGTTTTTGGACATTTTTCACGAATATAGCCAAACACTCACCCCTGTGCTGTTAGAAATGGTTCAAAATCTACATGGTAAGTTTTGTTATATTTTTTAAAATAGATACTTAGTTTAAATGTGTCATAATATTTTATCAAAGAGAATATTTCAATAGTAAGTGCTTTCAAATCTCTCAAACTAAAATTTGTAAAACGGAAAAAACCCTATTAGCACCATATTACTTGAAACCAGACTACATGCAAGTGTTTTCTGTTTATTGTACAAAATTGTTGGGATATTTTTCTGTATGGATTTTTTTAAATGTGTGTCATTTATATATGATATCCAAGCGTGTATCAAAATAATTACCACAAGTTAATCGCACATTAGTAGAATTTCACTTAATTTTTCTTGATTTGTTCAAGGGATAAGTGTCAATGGCAGGGCCAGAGCTTTGTGCTCATCTCTAATTGTCCTTGAGAATGTTATGCTGGGCCACAATGTGGTGCGATTGTGGTATAAGTCTGGCGTAGGTATTCCTACGGTATTGTTGGGAGAGAGTATCAGTGTATTGTCACAGCTACAATGAAGGTGCAAAAACATATTTCCCAATGAAGATAACACAGTGTGGAGCTGGAGGAACACAGCAGGCCAGGCAACATCAGAGGAGCAGGAAAGTTGACATTTCAGGTCAGGACCCTTCTTCCGAAATGAGGAGGGGGAAGGGAACTGGGAAATAAATAGAGAGGAGGGGTGGGGCTGGGGAAGGTTGGTGGGATGGTGATAGGTGAATGCAGGTAGGGAGTGGTGGGGGTTGGTCAGTGGGATGAGTGGAGCAGATAGGTGGGGGAGAAGATGGACAAGTTGTGTCAGGTAAAGGAGGCAGGAGGGAGGATGTGTGGGGCTGGGGAAAGGTAGGTGGGTTGGTGATAGGTTGGATGCAGATAATGGATAGTGGGGATTGGTCAGCGGGAAGGTTAGAGTGAATAGATTGGGAAGATGATGGACAGGTTGTGTCAGGTCAAGGAGGTGGGCATGAGAGGGAGGTTTGGACATGGGATGTCTGGACATGTCTGAAGTGGCCTATTTCTATGCCGTATTTCTGTGACTCCATATTTAGAAATCATGTCTTTGTTATTTTACAGGGCCATCTGATGTCGATAATACTGTTGAACTAGTTATCAAAGATGCTGGTATGTTATGTTTTGCAGCACTTCTTCCAGCTCAATCAAGTATTGTGGTTACATCAGTGTTATTGATTTTCATTATTTATTAATGTTTTATTTTGGTGGTTACATTGAATTGAGCATGAGGTAATTTGAGAATGTTATGTAAGAGTTCCTGTAGAAGTAGAAAATATAAACTGTGCATTTTATATTAATGTTAATAAATTAAATATATTGTGAAATTAGTTTATATTGTTGATACTTCATTTTTCTTAATAGTGTACAATGCTGTTGGATTGGCAGCCTACGAACTTTTTGATAGTGTGGATTTCGACCAGTGGTTTAATAACCAATTACTGGCTGAATTACAGGTTACTCACATAAGGTAAGCTATTGTTGTTTAAATAAATTAAGATGGTTGGCTCGCCGAGTTGCTTCATTGTTGTTCCGCAGACATTTCATTACCCTACTGGGTTACATCATCAGGGCAGCCTCTGATGAAGCGCCATTGTGTTTTCCCGCCTGGTTTTTAAACTCTGGAGTCCGTTGAGCTGGATTACCTCACTTCCGGTTTTCCTTCGCAGTGGAGTGTATATGGGGTCGAGTTCTATGTGTTTGTTGATGGCTTTCTTTGTGGAGTACCAGGCTTCTAGGAACTCCCGTGCCTGTCTGTGCTTTGCTTGTCCCAGGATCTTGATGTTGTCTTCTTTTACACCGAGAAGAAGAAGAATACCTCTTCCAGGTTTTCAAAGATAATGGATATCCAAAAAACTGGGTCAGAAGATGCCTACATGAACAACACTAGGAAGATACTATATGCCCCGACACACTCATTATGCTACCTTATATCAGGAACACATCAGAACTAACCACAAGACTCCTACGACCGCTGGGCATCAGAGTGGCATACAAACCCACATCAACCCTATGACAACTGCTCACCCGGACCAAAGACCCACTACCCACTATGGACAGGATCAGTGTCATATATAAGATTCGCTGCAGAGATTGTGACAAACATTATCGGACAAACAGGAAGGAATTTAACAACAAGGGTACATGAACACCAATTGGCTACAAAAAGACACGACCAATACTCACTCATCTCTATCCACATGGATAAGGAGAACCACCAATTCGACTGGGACAACACCAAGATCCTGGGACAAGCAAAGCAGAGACAGGCACAAGAATTCCTAGAAGCCTGGTACTGCAGGAGAAAAGCCATTAACAAACACGTAGAATTTGACCCCATATACACTGCACTGTGAAGGAAAACTGCAAGTGAGGTAATCCAGCTCAATAGACTCCGGAGTTTAAAAACCAGGCGGGAAAACACAACAGCGCTTTGTTGGAGGCTGTACTGATGATGTTACCCAGCAGGGTAATGAAACGTCTGCAGAACAACAATGAACCAGCTCAGTGAGCCAACCAACCTCAACACCCACAACCTGAGCTACAAATCTACTCTAAAACCTTAGAAAATAAATTAAGAATCTCGTGTTTAGATGTTTAGAAACATGTCTGGAGGGATATTAAAGTATTCATACAATGCTCTTTAGTTTTGTATTCTGTCTTTGCATTTACTAAATGTCTCTTTGGGATCATTTGAGTTTCATTTTCTTCTCTCATTTTAATCCCTTCCACTTCAGCATTATCTTTCTCAGTTTGGACAATGAATGGTCTAAGCTATGGATATTAAACACATATTATTGGAATCTGTCTAACCTGACAATAGGATTGCTACCCTAAAAATGTGTTGGGAATGTGCTGTTGCTTCTAAAAGCCGATATGCATGTTCACTGTTTTGCTGAACTGGTAAAATATTGTTATTTATGATGTGAAATAATTTTATCAATAGAGAGATGATGACAAACAAAAACCATGTTTAGTATGATAATCATCCATCATTTTTTCAGTTATATTATCTTAATGCATCACTGTAATTGAAATGCCAAAAACTATTACCAATGCTGTTGTTGCAGCACCAAATATTTAAAACGACATTTATGTGCAGCTTGGGCCTTGGGAAAGTGAACTAAATGCCATATGCTTCTAATTTACTGTAGATCACAGAAAATAAGATGATCCTCATCTTTGATGGTAAAATACATGTTTAGGCTGATATTTGGTCCATAAATCAATGCTTCATTTTTCAGCTAATAAATGTATATTTAGAACTAAATTCTTATTATGTGTTGCCTTCAGTTTTTCAGCTTAGAAATCAATGCTTAGGGTTATGCCCAGTTTATAAGTTGGTACATGGAATCAAGCAGATGAAATGGACCATATTGCCAGGATGATGCATTGAAGTTCAAGACGTGCTCCCATGGAGCAGACTTCATATGACAGTCTATGAACAGCAATTTTACCATATTTAAGATTAGTGACCACTACAGGAACACCAATAGATATATTTTAGTCTGTGTATAAATTAATTGTTTTTGAAAGGATTTTTCAGTGCTTCAGTGATTGACTTTGCATGTCATGATTTACGGTTATATTGTTGTGCGCTTTGCTTTCATGTGGTCTGATCAACTTGCTTACTTAGTGGAACTCATTTTACACTAATAATGAGACGTGATTTACCATGAGACGTGGTTTATTATCATTGAAACACATGTATACACATATACAACATTACAAAACCAGTCTTTCCCTCTAATATCCCAAGTAACGTTACAGTTCTTGAATGTCTTTGCCCACACACTAGTTGAAAATCTGCTTTGAGAGCGCAAGATATTAGAAAATATGGACTACTCTGATTACAAGTGGTCGAATTGGAGTTGAGGCTATAACACCTGCTCCCAAGGTTTCTGCTTCTTGGTCCTGATGTTTGCTGGAGTGTGTATGAGACCCCTCTATTTGAGTGGCTTCTTTCAACTAGTTATCCAGGTGATTTCTGAGCACAGCGGCTTAGCAGCAGTTTGACGTAACAATGCAATTAGCATAATTTAAATTGAGTTTCTATCTTGGGGAGGATGTTCCAAAAAGCATTATTGGATATTGTAATTTTTCGTATTGATTGAGCGAACCCTAGCCTAGCTGTCTCCAAAACAGCTTTACTGAAACTCAGATCTATCATTCCACCCAAAACCGTGCAGCTTTGTCTATCAACAACCCATTCAATAGACAATCAAGGTGAATGACTTGCATATCTGGCTGCCTTGATTCAATTTGACAGTGAATGCTGCAAGCTTCCTGGCTTAATATCTCAGTTCCACTGTTTCATTAACACCTATGCACACCTGTCTGTCAGGCCTGATCCATTCCCAGCATCCTGTTCAGTTGGCCAGTTTTCCCAGCATACCATTCAGTTGGCCGATTATTGCTTTCAATGTCCCAAAAGAACTGTCATTTCATTTGAAAGAGACATTCCACTACCTACATTGTCCTGTGCAGTTCAGTCTCCAGTCTACTGTTGCACGCATGTGCAGACTGACCGTAGGATTTTGGCTATGTTGTGACAGCATTATACAAGGAGTAGTAGTGTGCGTGTATTCCACTGCTAGCACCAAGTCTCCTTGAGCGTAAACTCGGATTCCTGCCATTGGATTCATTCCTCTCTATCCACTTGTTTGGTTTTATGAAACCTCATTTATCCAATACTGCCTATTTCCATTTCTGCATCATCCATGTCAAAGTTACAGGCCTCCAGTCTAAGAAAGAACTTCAACCTTTCGGGCTAGCAGCAGCAGTCAGGTCAGTGGCACTGTTACCGGCTCTGAGGCTCAAAGAGAAAGGATGCAGTCAGGCAGAGTGATACTGACAGGAAACTCAATTGTGAAGGAGACAGACAGGAGATTCTGTGGCCACAGGAGAGACCAGGATGGCGTGTTGCCTCCTTGGGGGCCAGGGTCAAGGATGTCTCTGAGCAGTTGCAGAACATTCTGAAGGGGGAGGGTGAACAGCCAGAGGTCATTGTGCACATCCAATACAAATGACATAGGTAGACAAAGGGATGGGGCCATGTGAAATGAGTAATAGGGAGTTCCGTAAGAAGTTAAAAAGCAGGACCTCAAGGGTAGTGATCTCCGGATTATTCCCATTGCCATGTGCCAGTGAGGATAGAATTAGCAAGATAGGCCAGATGAATGCATGGCTGAGGAGCTAGTGTAGAGGACAGGGTTTTCAGTTCGTGGATCATTGGGATCTCTTCTGGGGTAGAGGTGACCTGTACAAGAGGGACGGGTTGCACTTGAACCAGAGGGGGCTCAATATCCTTGTGGGGAGATTTGCTTGTGTTGCCTGAGAGGGTTTAAACTACTTTGGCAGGGGGGTGGGACTCTGAATAACAGAGTGGCCATTGAGAAGTCTGGGGAAAATATATTAGCCATCGAGAGCAAGTTTACTATTTCGGATAGCCAGGGGCACAATAAAGGGAGGGAAAAGATTTCTGGTTTAAAGTGCATTTGCATCAATGCATGAGGCCTGACTGATAAGGCAGATGAGCTCAGAGCATGGATTGGCTCTGGAGACTGGAATATTATAGCCATTACAGAGACATGGCTGAGAGAAGGGCAGGACTGGCAGCTCAATGTTCCAGGATGCAGAAGCCACAAGCGTGACAGAAGTTCAAGTAAGCAAGGATATTATAACAGTACTTAGAGAGGATATTCTTAAGGGGTCATCAAATGACGCCATTTGGTTAGAACTTAGAAATAAGAAGCGGATGGTCACTCTGTTGGGACTGTATTATAGATCCCCAAATAGCCAGTGGGTACTAGAAGAGTAGATGTGTAGAGAGATTGCAGATACCTGTGGGAATAATAAAGTAGTATTGGTTCCTAAGGTTCTTAAGTGGATCTGTAACTCGAATTGTGGATGCCGTGGTTGGTTGGCTCGCCGAGCTGGTTCATTAGTTTGCAAAAGTTTCATTACCCTGTTGGGTAACATCATCAGTGCAGCCTCCGATGAAGCGCTGTTGTGTTTTCCGGCCTGGTATTTTAAATCTAACGGACCCCAGAGTTTATCATCTGATTTCCAGTTTTCCTTTGCAGTGGTGTATCTATAGGGTCTAGTTCTATGTGTTTGTTGATAGCCTTCTTGGTGGAGAACCAGGCCTCTAGAAATTCCCGTGCTTGTCTCTGTTCTGGCCTGTCTTAGGATCCTGGTGTTGCCCCAATCGAACTGGTAGTCCTCCTTATCCATGTGATACTCACTCATCTCCATTCACACAGATAAGGAGAGCCACCAGTTTGATTGGGACAACACCAGGATCCTAAGACAGGCCAAACAGAGTCAAGCACGGGAATTCCTCGAGGCCTGGTTCTCCACCAAGAAGGCTATCAATAAACACATAGAAGTAAACCCTAAATTCACACAGTTTTTAAATTCCTCTGTATTGACTGGGCCACCGAGTGTAAAAGGCCCGAAAGGGGTGGA